ACACACACACACACACACACACACACACACACACACACACACACACACACACAGAGAGAGAGAGAGAGAGAGAGAGAGAGAGAGAGAGAGAGAGAGAGAGAGAGAGAGCATCTTTCCAGGTCCATGGTGAGGGGCAGAGGCGGGGCGCTCGATCCATCGCCTGGCAATGTGGTTCAAATTGGTGAAGTAGTGATTTCTGACCATCTGTCTGTTCTCTCGACACATGCATGACGCAGAGGGCTTTGCAAGCATTGTCCGTTTTATTCACGGGTCTCATTCATTGGCTGTGCACACATCACAAGCCCGATGCCTTCTTTCCCCGAACACAACACACTCTGATCATGAACATGGACTGGCTTATTTGGGGTCTGATATGAGCGTGCGTTGTGTCGAGGAGAACGTGACAGCGATGGAGAGAAGAGGAGCCTCGTGAGGAAGAGAGAGATGCGAAGGGATATCAGGGCGGCGTGCAGGACGATTGCGGGCTATCGTGGCGAACGTTTTTGACACGATGACGGGGGTGGTAAATCAACGGTCGACAGCCGAGCGATCGGGAAAGAAGGGTGATCAAGGAGGCGGTCAAGAGCAAGACCTGCGATCTGATCAACGTGTGATATGGATTAAGGAACGGATATGCACTACGTTTGATGTGGGAGATGATAAGTTTCTTGAGCTTCTGGATGACGAGGCCGCTGCATCGAAACTGAAGGCGTTCCTAGATGATCCTGTTCCATCTTTTCCTGCGCTATTTATATATGGAGTTTCCAAGGTCACGTATGTGCCGCTCCCGACCAAGGAACCACCTCCGCCCCCACCAGCGCCTGAAGCGGAAGCACAGGCTGACGGCGCAACGCCGGGGCAATCGGGCGCAACGGGTGATCAAGGCATTGCCAATCCGTCTGGAGAGACGGAGGCGGGAGCGGATGGGTCAGCAGCAGCGGGCGGGGAGGGGCCGGAAAGCGCAGTCATATCTGGCGCTGGCGGATTGGAGGAGGGGGGTGTAGGCGAGGGCGCAGGCGCATCGCGCGGAGATGGAGGGGGGGAGGGGACGCAAGGTGGGGAGAGGGTGAGAACGGGAAGTGGTGTGCGATTTGCAGACGCATCGACGAAGAGAGGAGAGGAGAAAAGTCCTCTGTCAATATCGCGTGGTGGTATTTCAGGAGGGAAGGAACAAAGCATCAGCAGGGGAGGATGGGGATTTGGACCCAAGGGGAGGGGCGCGAGCCGCGGGGAGGACTGGGGGGGGACAGGGAACGCGGAGAACGCGGGAGGGCGAAAGAGCGGGTTGTCTAAACGAGGGCAGGAATCTGACGAAGAGACAGAAGGGGAGATGAGCGAGGAAGATGAAGAAGAAGATAAAGCGACGGCGTGGCAGGACGATAAGAGCAAAGTCGATGCCAACGAAGTGACACGTGGCAAGGACAGTGTGGGGCTTGTTTCAAGTAGTCAGCGGTCAAGCCTGTCGGGAGTACTAGCTGGTAGATCAAGCAGAGCGGGGAGTGTACGACAAAGCACCACGAAGGCTGAAGGATTTGAAAGACTTGTCCTCGTAAGCCTGTTTTTGTGTACGGGGCACTTGCCGGAGGAGCCCCGAGCTCCAAAGACTATCTATTTCTTACGATTCAAACCTGGCAAAGTTTACCGATCGCCGGACGCGCTTGAGTTCGGCATTCTGACTGAGGGGCCATCTCTCTTGTTCTTGGAGCAGGTATGGTATATAAATGTAAATGTACTCCTTATATCTATAAATAAATATTGTATGTACGTACTGTATACCACGTACTATATATAATATTGCCACTGAGCTACAGCGCTACAGACTAACTGCGTCTCTGTGTGTGTGTGTGTGTGTGTGTGTGTGTGAGAGAGAGAGAGAGAGAGAGAGAGAGAGAGAGAGAGAGAGAGAGAGAGTACTTGAGTATTCTTTGCTCTTGTTGTATGTTCTTACTTTGCAACACTGTTTTCGCTTTTGTCCACTTCTGCACTTTTACACTGTTTCGTTTTCGTTCACTTTTGCACTTTTGCACTCTTACACTGTTTTCGCTTTTGTAGTTGAGCACGTTTGTGTGTGTAGTTGAGCTTCAAGTAGCAGCCCACCCCTCTGCTTTCTAGAAGCACATTTGCGACCTACTGAGAAGAAGACAAGGAAAGGCCAGGGAGAACAAAATGAGAGCATGTGGGAAGCAGGGTTTAGGGGTTATGTAGAGCTAGCCTTTCGGCCCCTTCCGACGGATAGGGCAGGAGCAGAATGGATGATGAGGATGAGGACTGAGTCAATTACAGTCTTTCCCCGAATAGAACGTAAAGTAATTGTCGCTGGACTGAGTTGCCCCAAATACTGCTATTTGGGCGTGCGGTGTCTGGCTGGGGGGAATGTTCATAGATGTTTACAGCGACGAAAGAACATATGTTCTGGAGTGAGGAAAGTTGCGACGGTGCTCTGAGCACCTTGCTATCGAAACCATCTCATCATCATAGGGGATGCCGGCATAGTCAGAGCTGGCTGCAGGTAAGGATCACCGTGTCTGCCACCAGTTCTGCAGTGTTTCCTGTTCTCTTTTTTGTTTTTTTTCGAAAAGGTGACGGTCTGACATGTCACCTTCGGACTGACCGACCCTAGGTATGTATTTAGCCGTATCCGCAAAGACAGTCAAATTCTTACGCGCTTTTGCGCCTTCGTGGGATTCAGACGCGAAGCGTCTGCTCTTCGAGCCGTAAGGTTGCCACCCCATACTTCGAAAGATGTTGTGGCCAAGGAAAGGTACTCGACCCTAGGTAATTGCGAATTGTCGTAATTTTACTCATCTGCTTGAGGTGGAGTTCGAACTCCGATCTGCATTTTAACAGTTCAGGGGTGTACCCACTGAGCTGGCCAGTTGGTGTGTTTCCTGTTCTAGAGGAGCGGTAGGATACATCAAACTGACACTGTTTCCTGCTAAGGTATCGGCCCGATTCCGTGCGCGCACAGATGGATCCGAGACCAGCCAGAAAGTACTGACCACGAACGAGTCGGAAGGACTGTTTCCTGTTCTATAGCAGCGGCAGTAGGGCTACGGATTATAACCCGTTAGGCACTTGAGCATGGCGTCAGCACGGGGTATTTTTCGATATGGATGATGGGGTGAATCATAGTGTTCATTAGACTCATTACTCCATACATGAAAATTGTCAGTGCTCAGAAACCTAGACAGATCTGACTGAGTGTTTCGCCACCACAGGGGAGGGCCTGCTACAAGGGAGCCGACAACCCTTTGTCTGGAAAGAGAGAAGGGAGGTCTATCGTATTAGAGTGATAGAAGAGGAGAGGGGTTGGAGGGCTTACCGGCCAATGATCCCAATCGAGGACTTACCTTTTGATCCCGATGAATGGAGATGGTCGTGGAAGGGTCGGGAAACGGTGAAAGGAAGAGGAAAGGCGAAACCGGTAGCACTATTTACCCTTAAAACCAAGACGGTATATCAAATGCTCAGACCGAGGCGCAGACTGAGAGATGTGGTGGAGGACAGATGGCAACGACATCTCAACATAGACAGAGGCCTGCTCAAACCCATGCAATGGTTCAGAGAGTATCGTAAGAGGCTGGCCAAAATCTCTGCCTTACAATGGCAGATTGCCCATCGGTGCCTGCCGACCAACGACCGACTGATTGACCACACGCATTTGGAACAGCAAGGAAGGGCGCTTCCCTGGTGCCGAGTATGCCTCCAAAATTTCCCTGGCAAAAAGTGCCCTGAGACAGTGGAGCACATCTTCTTGCAGTGCCGCATAGCTGTATTACTGTGGCGATGGTGGGACAGGATTTGGCGGCATATTGTACCGGGCTCGTCCTGGCCATGGGACTGGAAGGCCACATTGTTGGGCCACCGCCCCCAATTTCGAGGAAACACCTTGAGGAGATCATGTACTCCCTGGGTAGGCGTTCCATCCTGTGGGTAATATGGTGGAGAAGATGCATTCTGTAATTGGAAGGGCCCAGGGTGGAAGAGGGGGAAGTCACGGAGCAACTACAACTACTGTTACAGCATGAGATCACGACGCAATGGCAGACTGTCAAGGAAAAACTGAACCAAACACACACCAGGGTGGACATCGACAGAATTATCTCCCGGTTCTGTGAGGAATGGCTGGGGGGAAGAAGAGAGGGCTGGGTGGCAAATGTGAGCTGGACAGGCGACAGGCTGGATCAGAGTCAGACCAGGCAGCAGGAACATCAACCGGAGCAGATTAGGGAAGTGGGGATGGGGCAGCAAGAAGGGCAAAGGGTAGAGGTGGTAAGGGATTATGCGCTGCATTTCCACGAATGGACAAGGGTGGACCCCAGGGAACCGTTACGACCTGCTCAGGAATTCACTGATCCCTTCCCCCACCATCCACTGGCCCTGGAGGAACGTCTGGGAGACGGGGTCTGATCATCTATATTCACCTATTTTTCATCACAGCTGCCCTTCGGCTGCTCCTGAGTATTTTTCTGGCACAGACTTCACAACTACAGTCAATTTGTGTAGATCGGAGGTGGGGAGACAGCCACCGGTGCCCCCCTGGTCCAAGATGGCATTTTGATTATTTCTTCCCAGGCTTTCGACGGCAGAGCTTCTCTTACGGAAATACACCCTGCACAGTAAATCCCCTGTAACCCAGGGCAATCAATGCTGGCATGGTCCCTAGTGTTCTTAAAATGCTGTTACACATGGTTTTGAACTTTTGATGTATTCAAGGGACGCTGGACCTGGTTTCCAGCTGGTGATGCTCCCCACCAATAGATGGAGCGGCCCACCAGGCAAAGCCTCAATCCCTGTGGTTCTCTTACCACCACTGGGATAGAGGCCTTGCAAAGGACCTTAAAAAAAAACAAAAAAAAAACCAATTAAAAAAAAACAAAAAAAAACAAAAAAATAGACAGATGCCCCGTAGTGGCAAGGCGTTCTAGAATGCAGGCACCGGTGCGAGGGTGCTGACCAATGCTCGCATCTGAAGTTTGGGGTTTGCCACTGGAAATCAGTGAAACCGTATGAGCGCGCTTAAGCACGCACTTAAAGACCCCCGCGCTTCGCTCAAATGCGCTCAAAGCGCTTTAAGGCACGCGCGCGCGTCAAAAAATCAGCGGGCGCTCGCCACGGGGTTGCACGAGGACAGGGGACGCCTTGGGGCTGTTTCCGCGCAAAAAAAAAATAGAGTTCACAGGGTGTATTTTTGGGGGGTGGGGACCGTGGGGTTGGGGGTAGGGTGGGGTTGGGGATGGGGCTTGTGGTGGGGTGGTGTTTGGGGCGTGGTGGGGTGGGGTTTGTGGTGGGGTTGGTGTTGGGGTTGGGGTTGGTGGGGTTTGTGGTGGGGTTGGGAGTGGGTTTGGGGTTGGCGGGATTTGTGGTGGGGTTGGGAGTGGGTTTGGGGTTGGTGGGGTTTGTGGTGGGGTCGTCGTCGCAGTCGTGGCCGTCATCGCAGTCATCGCCGTGGTCGCCGTCGTCGCAGTCGTGGCCGTCATCGCCGTCGTCGCCGTCCTCTCTCTCTCTCTCTCTCTCTCTCTCTCTCTTTCTCTCTCTCTCTCTCTCTCTCTCTCTCTCTCTCTCTCTCTCTCTCTCTCTCTCTCTCTGTGATGGCGTGCGCTACTGTGCGTGCAGGCTTGGGCGATGGCGGCTTGCTCTCTCTTTCTCTCTCTCTCGCGCGCGCGATTGCGCTTCAGCGTTTGAGCGTGCACAAACGCAACTGAGTGCACACTCATCCGCGCAGCGCTTAATAGCGCTTGGTGGGATTTTTTTTTTTTTTAACTGTTCGGTCGTCTTCAGGTCGTCAGAACCCCCACACCCCCGCCCCCCCCCCCCCTTTCCCCGCCTGGGACCCCTAAAACCGACAGCCACCCTTCCCCTCCCCGGTATTGACCCCGCCCGCGAACGCGCTCAAGGCGCGCTCGAGCGCACTTTTGAGCGGCGCTCAAAAACACGAGCGCCGGGCCTGCGCTCAATCAGCGTGCGGTTTCATTGCTGGAATTAGCAGGACGCTAAGGGTAAATCCTCCTCCTGCAGTATAATTCCAGTATGGCCTTCCGGCTGTTGCCAAGCTGGATCATCAAGAGGATGAAGCAGATGCCTTCCAGAGCTACCTTCAGTAGAATAGTGAGTCCCTCTCTCTCTCTCTCTGTTTCTCTCTCTCTCGCTCTGTCTCCCTCCCTCCCTCCCCCCCTCACTCCCTACTGGCTCCCACTTTTCACGCGACCCAAAATGCGAATCAACTGGCAAAAAACAGTCGGGTGGTGGATAACCGGCAAAAACATGCCCCCTTCCCCGTACTCCCCAGAGGGAATGTCATGGACCGATCCCAACGACCCAATGAGAGTCCTCGGGATCCAAATGACAGAACATGGGGCGGTGGCGGAAATGGCCCCCAGCCTACTAGCCAAGCTAACAAACAAACTCAGTGCATGGGGGCCTTTTTCTCCCCGAAACACCAAGCGCTAAAAGTACTCAAGCAGAAAGCAGCCTCCTATCTGTGGACAGGGGACGCCTCCAAATAACACTCCATCACAAAGGTGGCATGGCAATACGTCACACGGAAGAAAGGACAGGGTGGGTTGGGCGTCCTTGACCCTGCAACACAGATAAAAGCTCTCAAAACGAAATGGATCCTCAAACTCCTAATGAGCCCAAGTTACCTTGGAGGCCCCTAGCAATGGAAGGAATTCAGCAACTCCCGGTGTACACCACACCACCCAACAT